GAAATAACCGATCAAAATGCAAACAAATAATTATTAACATTGTGAAAAATAGTTACGTGAAGCCATTGTGAAAACAAATGCATTTCGAGATCTACGTGAAGCAAACTGCCGTAGGCGGTTTGGTCCCCGAATTTCCCCAAAAAAAGCCTATTTTCCATTGAATTTGAATTTCAATCACAAAATGGTGAAAAAACCAGATTTTCATATGCCATGTTCTATCCGTAGGAAAGGACAATCTTCATTCTGAACTCATGAAATCATAGTTGTCAAGGTACTCTATAAATGCATGGAGAGAACGGTCACGAATGTCGAAGTTAGCACCGCGTTAGTAGTTCTATAAATAATATTTAAGTTGTATTTTTTTCACATAATGAAGAACGGTTGGGAAGGCAGGTAGGCAGGCTGTTTTTTGATTTTTGTACAGCCTAACTAAAGGTGTGAGGTTCAATCCACATTCCACCCATCCACACAAATTTTTTTTTTTTTGTTTTTTGGCCTGGCTGATTGAAGCTAGGTTATTAAAAAACCCGGCCATGCATTAATGCAATTCAGGGACCGAGTAATATAATCTATATAATAAAGTATAATAAAAGATGAAGAAAATAACACCTCAAATTTAATAAGANTTTTTTTTTTGTTTTTTGGCCTGGCTGATTGAAGCTAGGTTATTAAAAAACCCGGCCATGCATTAATGCAATTCAGGGACCGAGTAATATAATCTATATAATAAAGTATAATAAAAGATGAAGAAAATAATTTTTACTTTTTACACGGCTAATATTAACACCACAAATTTAATAATAAATCTAAGAGTGTGTTTGTGGTGACTTTTTAAAAGTACTTTTAGAACTTATACTATTAACATCTCAAATTTATAACTAGTTACGAATACTTTTAAAAAAACAATAGTACCACCACCACCACTGTTGCCGCCTCCTTACCACAAGCATCACCAACACCACAACCGTCGATGTCGCTATTGTCTCCATCTCACCACCACCCCCTGACATTATCGTCGTCCACCGCCGCCACCACCCACCATAATTTTCATCTCAGTCGGTGTCACCCACTCCCATCAAACTTACCACCAATCGTTATCGCCCACCACTGTTACCGACCCATATGACACGTACCACCACCACCGCTATTAACCACAACCAATCACCCCTCGTCCACCACCATCATCACGCGGCAAGGCAACAAGGCAAGCGACAAGGCAACATGGCATGCGGCAAGGCAACATGGCATGCGGCAAGGCAACAAGGCATGCGACAAGGCAACAAGGCACGTCATGATGTTGCTATCCAAGCAAGGTTATGCGGTGTTTTGGGAGAGGAGAGGCATGCGACAAGGGAACAAGGCACGTCGTGTTGCTGTCCAAGCAAGGCCATGC